GCAGACTAGGAAGACATCTGTTTCTGGATAACACAATGATCTTAGTGGATCAAAGTCATCTTGACCTGCTGTGTCACATAGCTGGACATTTATTGGCAGACCATCAACATTAACAACCACTATAAACAATTGCCATTTAACATGTTTAAAAAAATAATTTAATCAATTAAAATATTCATAATTTTTTTTCAAGATGACTATCTGTATACTACGCATTAAATATACATATCAACTAACCATTATAATTATCAAAAGCTGTAGGTACATATTCTCCAGGAAAACCGTTTGTGGAATAAGAAACAACTAAACTGGTTTTTCCAACTGCACCATCACCTACTAAGACGACTTTGATCCTCCTGTCTATGGGAATACCGCCGTGCTCCGTGCCGTTACCATGTGAATTTTGATTCTGTACCGAGCAGGTCGTCCGTTTCGGTTGCATCTGCATTGTCTGACCATTTTTCAGCAGTGGTTTAGTCCAATTGTGCGACGACGGAGGCATTATTTCCTTCTTCACTTTACTTCAGTCACAAGTTTTCATACGAACACCACTTCCAAAAATATCTTACATATATAACCTCTACCTTCAGGGCAAGAAATTAAGGCGATGCAATTTATTTTCACCTATCACAACAGGTATTCCTTCCGAATCGTCATTTCTCTTCTCTCCCCGCTGACGGTCGATGCTCCGTAAGAGATACAGGGATCGAGTTTCTAACACGATGACTGCTTTCAATACGCCTTGTCAGGTACTTACTGTGTGCATCGCTCGCTCGAAAACAATGGTGGAACGAACGTATACATATGTATAGTGCATCCAGGAAAAATAAAAAAAGAAAAGCAACTCATCCACCTGCCGCGATACGGGAGCCACCTGTTATTACGTTTTTCTTGCGGCCATCAACCTGATTCGCTGTCTGTGTCTGCTTCTTACTCACACTCCGACTCTGTCGCGGGGTCGATATATATATGTATGGATTATGTACATGTATGTATATATATATTATAGCTTGGACAATGCTCGTCCCGTCTTTGATTGTGTTAACGTTCCCTAGAGGGACAGAATTCTAAACTAATCTTACCTAACCTTACCCAGCCTTAACCCTAAGGTTAGGTAAGGAGGACTTAAGCATATAAATATGCAACAAGTAGTTGAGAACTAAGAACTGAGAACTGATGAGAAACGATCGTTTCTCCAGTATAAATTCGGGCCTTATATTTCCTGATAGTACCATCGAATTGGGCACGACGAAACTTGAGCCTGAGCCGTCATAAGTAGTCGTGAGGTGAGCACCCTCATCCTCATCCCTCTCTGTCGAGGTCGAGAATCATTGTCGCACGCTGTACACATACACATCATATGGCAAATTATAGAGGACAATATACTTTGAAATGACTAACCTATGTATATCGATTGAACTTTGCAGTTTCAAACTTTTCGACTAATTTTAAATGACATGATATCTCATGACGAGATAAAAGTTGAAATAGTTCCGTTTAATGGAGAAAGAATCGAAGGAAAAGAAGAAACTGTCGTTTTTGTTGAGCAATTTGTCAAAGACGTTTGTGATTTTAGTTCCCAGTATGGAAGTAATATTAGCATTTCGTATACTGCCTATAACATCGCTGGAAATCCCAGCAAATTTCCCGATTACGGGGATTTTCCACAAGCTTTTGTCATGGTATGTTTGTATCCTAAAACTAAAGATTAACGAGCTGAAAATCATAGTAACATTAACTACATATTCACATTCTATGTTAATCTTCTTCTCCAGTCTTCTAAAAACTTGTAGAGCACTTGATTTTGTAAAACTACATTATGTTACATCTGATTTTAGAGAACGTATGGTCAATGGTGGGATAAAGCACCTTCGAGACTAATAGATTATATGCCACAGAACAATGTGGATGTCGTGAGCCAAGATTATATAGGTAGCCTTCTCTTAAAAAATCAAACATTTAATGTAAGAATTGTAATGGTTTAATGCTTGTAATATTGTCTTTCAAGATTTAGAATATTATCAAGAGGTATATCCAATTAGAGTTTCAATATATGAGACTTACAATCCTGGTAGTGTGATTGGAATTTGGGCACAAAGTTCAGAAGGCAAATGGTATCAGTTATGGAGTGGATTTCCTCAAACTGTACCACACAAATCAAGAATATTTACTCCACAATTGCAGCTATGTAACTTTAAAACCAAAATGATAAGACTGGAATTTAATCATAGTTTATTGGACTATTATACCGAGTTAGACGCTGTGTTACTTATTGGTACATCCGAGCTAATTGTACCGAATAATTTTCATAATCAAAATTTAAATGATCTTTCACTAGAATTGGGTTACCTTAAGCAAAGTGAAGAAGATAGTTATAATTTAACTCCAGATATTTTAAAGGCAAATCAAGATTTAACGATTCTGAAGAAAACACTCTCCAAGCATTGTAAGCTTTTTAAAAGGTACGCTAAGGCCAGTACGTGCTCTTCCACTCCATCAATATAATATATTTAATATACTAGTTTTCAAATAATTACAGCAAAGTAATCGATAATTTATCCAAAGGCAAATTAATATCTAAAATAGGCCAACACTATCAATCCGTCCCGCCTATAGAAGAAGCATTCAATAGCTTACAACAATTTTTACAAGAAGATTTTCCTAAACTCATTAGAGACATTCATCACTCGATACCAAATGCCTTAAGCCCACAGGACAATTCCCTCCAAGGAAAAATTTTGATACCTTCAACCGCCGTTGAGACTCAACCACGCGGTAGTTTTTCAGCACTTCCGGTAAAATACTACATTTCTATATACATGAGTTTGATTTGAAACATTTGATTTATCCATTTACTTTTGCAGGATGAAACGGTACTAAAAATTTTAAAGAATTTAGATCTAAAATCGTTGTGCCGTTTATGCAGAGTAAATAGATATTTTCATAATATTGCAAGGGATGCTTTGTTGTACACAAGTCTCAACTTAAAACCTTACTGGCATTGTTTCAATGCATTTGCCTTAAATAATTTGGCACCTAGGTGTCATTATTTACAACGACTGGACCTTTCATGGTGTGGAAATTATAACATGATTAAACCCAAAGATTTTATAGAATTTCTTCATACATCTGGAACACTTTTGACACATTTAAGACTAAACTGTTGTCAATTTGTAAATGATACCGTTATCCATGATATTTCAAAAGTATGCAAGAATTTAAAAGGTAAATAATCCTATTACAGCCTCGTCTTATTAGAATGTATCAAATATTTGCGTTAAATGTAACTTACTATCTTTAGAATTATGTTTGCGTAAATGTATGAGTATAACAAACGAAGGATTCTCCAAGCTTGAAAACCTCAAGTTCCTCGAACGGTTGGAACTTTGCAGGACGATCATCGAAACTTCTGCGTTGTGTTCTATTCTGCGTAAAAATACTCAAATGCGACATTTAAATTTAGCAGGAATGCACGAACGTCTAAACATAGACGAAGTCGCAGTTGAATTAGGAAACTCCTGTCCGTACTTAGAGAGCGTCGATTTTTGGAAAGGTCAAACCTTAACTCCGCACGGAGTTCGAGCTTTGTCTCATTGTACTAATCTCCGAGAAGTTGATTTTGGATGGTGGTACGTTTTTACTTGGACAATTTTTCAATTCAGATCGAACTTGTTTTAACGATACTTGTCTTTGCAGTGGTGGTATGGGCGCTCCTGGTGACTCGTTAAGAGCATTACTATTTTCCTGTCGCTATTTAGAAAAAGTATTCCTCGCAGCGCTTAGAGGATTAACAGATCGAGATTTAGAACCACTTCTATTATGTCAACGATTGCAACAGCTAGATTTATTAGGGGCGCGTTCCCTTACCCCTGATATATGTTACGGTTTTCTACTATTCTGTCCAAAATTGGAAATGATCGATCTCAGTTTTTGTGAAGGTATCAACGAGTTTATAGTACAAGAATGGCGTCAGCAATATCCGCAAGTCTCCTTCAAAAGAAGTTTCCAAGCATTCCACAATATTTATTAGATTAACTTTCGCGCATTCTAAAAATAGACAGGCCTTATTTTATAATTCTCCTGAGCGTTTGTACTTTCCTTCCATTGAAATCCTACAAGACTGTAATGTATGTGTATATAATTACCTGTGAGATATAATTATTGAAGTGTGTGTAATTTATGTACGTGCTTTTTATAAAGGAATAAGATAATGTATTTTTGAAATTTCGTATTTGTACAGTGTCAGAGAAAATGTTTATATATGTATAAAAGCAATGAAAAATATGTCTGGATTACGTAATAAATATTTAACTTGAAATAAATTTTGTTGTCTGTATGAATATTTATTGATAGGGGAATCAAAAAGATATAAATAATAGAAATTGTACTATTGTACATACATTTCTATACGATTTATGGATACATGTGAATTTAATGTGTAAGAGTAAGGAAGATGAAGATAAGATTGTATATGTATGCGAGAGAGAAGGTGTATGTGTGAATACATACGTAATATATAAACTGAACAGCTGAGGTACACGTGCACGTGTTGCTTGCAAATGTAGGTTATACGAAACGTAGGAGGAGATTCCATATAATTTGCAGAATGAAATATATAAGAAATTACATTTCTTAAACCAACAGTTTAAAGATTTAGACTTAAAGTATATATGTATTTAGTTTTGTATATGTAAATCATTCTGGAATAATGAAAACCAATTTGCAAGTTACTGAAACTGGTGTCAACAAAAGGATGAAAAAAGGTGAATATATTTTTGCAATAGTTTACATATGCAATATTAAACAATATTTCAAATATGGAAATACTGTTAAATTTAGGGAACGATGATGTCGGAGTCCAACAGATTAATGGCAATATACAGGATGAATATACTGATACAAAAATGCTTAAAAGGAAGTTGAATTCTAGCAAGGATGAAAAAGCAAAGAAAAAAAAGAAAGAAAATAGTGAAGAATCGTTCATAAATGGCACATATAATTCAGAGATTGAACATTCAAAATTAGTTGAAGGTATTTTAATACCGTACCTTGTATGTTTAATTATATGAATTATGTTTGTAAATCTCCATAGGTATTGAAGATAATAATGAAGTTGAAAACAAAAAAGAAGATGAAAATGATAAAGAAACAAATCATTTGGATGTAAAGTTCTTAAGGAAAAATCTTAATTCTGAAAGAGGCTTAGATGTCTTAAAACGATTTGTAAAAATCTGTAATGAAAATAAAGGGAGAGACTTAGCTGCAGAATATTTAAATGAAGGTGGTAATATTGTTGAAGTAATCAAGCTGCTGGGCACAGATAAAAAGGGGATTGGTAGTGCCGTAACCGTATTTTCTGCAGTGAGAATCTTGTTAATTAAGTAAGTATTACACGTGTATACTGTAAATTCAAGGAGAATAAGTTTCTATCTTCTTACAGAATTCTGACACAATGTCCACAGTACCAATCAAGCGCAGAAGGAGCATGTCGTTACTTGATTAATTCACATCTGTCATTGATTTATTCAATGCTTTCTGTGCAAAGTAATACTAAACAGCGAAAAGTAGTTTTACAATTACTTGCTGCGATAGTTTCATTGGGAGGTACTGTTCCACGAGAACTATTTTCTCATTTGTCCTTACCATTGGAAGTAATTAAATCCCTTGTTCAACATACAAAGCCTACAGATGATCAGAATATAAGGAATTGTTATATTCATTTTGTCATTGCCTTCCTAGTCGAAGGCAGTGTACCGATCATCAGAGTTCTTTTGGATAAACGAGATCTGCTTACTAACATATTTCCTGGACTCATATATGATTCTAAAGATATCGTTGCCTTAGTTTTAACAACTCTCAAGAAATACGTTCTTCAAAATACAAATATTAGTAAGACTATGAAATTGCAAATATTTTCGACATCGGTTATTCAAAATCTGGTGTGCTTGTACAATTGGAAAGGTCCAAATAATTGGAGAGATCCAAAAAATAAAGTGCAGACCGTTATACAGGACGAGCATTATTTTGAAGAAAAGGAAATTGTTATTGAAGTGATACACGATTTTCTAATTACATTATTAACATCGCATCGGCATGGTATCATTTTCCGTGATCGCATGCTCGGTATTTCGCACGTTAAACACAACTACACAGTGAACACGATACTTCAAAGCTTAGATCGTCCTTGGGAACATGAGAAACCATCGGATTTGGTGATTAAAATAATGGCAGCGTGTCCAGATTTAGTCAGGTCTCAATTTAATCTTTTGGAACCGTACATTGAACCTAGAGCTTCATTAAAATGGATTGCAGCAATTAAATTTATAAGAAAGATAATACAGTCGGTAGATGTGGAAGTCTGTATAAAGACGTCTTTAGAATTAAATACATCGCAATTGGCTAATGCGTTAGCAAGTTTAACTTTACCAGGAGTGATTCTGAAGCAAGCAATTATGCCATCCTTAATTCATTCCAATATAATCGTAAGACATGAGGCGGTATTAACACTCATGATTATGTTTAATCAGATACGAAAGTGTTTAACAACTTTGACTACAGCTTACAAGGGAGACAGTTTCCATAGTTTTAAACATTTTATAACGGAGTACACGTTGAAGGTATGCATGACAATTAGAAACTGATACCTGATTTTAGATGAACATTTGATTATGAGGTACTAATAATATTTCTAGAATATACCCAATTTAAATACGATATTAAAAGCTTGGAGTTGTGCTTTCACATCAGATTCGATTGACGATACTAGCAAAAATGAGCTAATCCCAGAGCCAAAGAGACACGAACACTTGATGGCTATTTTGGATTTATTGCATATGTACAATGAAGTTTGCCCGAAATTGTTAGACACCTTATCGGATCTGCAAGTCGATGGATTTTTAAGTATATTAAATACATTGGACGATGTTGGTGTTGATGAATTTAATACTATAAAAGTAAAAGCCATCAATTTCCTAGTTATGTTGTCCCCTAATGAATTTTTGCCACACAAGGTATGCAAAACTTATCTATAAGCATTTTTGGCATGTTAGTTCTCAAAAATCATGTATATCTTTTCTTTCAGAAAATATTTAAAGATACGCTATCATTTTTAATATCTGTCTTACACGACGAGACGTCTTCAGTAACGTTACATAGTAAAATGACGATTAAAACTTTATTGAATGCTACTGGAATGTTTGAAGGATGTCAGGATCATTTAGATATTTGGGTGAATGGTTTCATAAACATAGATAAGAAAAATAAAGTAACGAAATGGTTCGTTCGTATTGTAAAGGAAACCACTCAAGATATCGAGAAATACGTGAATGAAATAATTCGAGCAGAAGAAGTTATTAACGAAGAAATAGTTAACGTCGGTAGACTGGAAAGCATATTCGACGGTAAGATTACTCTCTTACATATCTTAAGTGCACTGCTGCAATTGATTCGTTACTATTTTCATACTTTGCAGAACTGATGAATAAACCGAGCATTTCTGAAAATTTTGAAAGCAATAATGCTCTACCAATGCAACGTTTCGCGTCAGTCTCACCACTTTTATGTTGTGTATTACATAAGATGAAAGAAGACTTGCATCCTTCAATTTTATCTTATGTTTCTTATGTCTTAATACATACATTGCATTACCAAGTAACACCTCAGTGTTTGATACATTTAACTAAAGATATTGAAGGATTATTGGTAAAAGAATATTTACTCAGTTGGCTGGAGAGCAATCAGCCTGTTTACATTAAAGAAACATTATCATCAACTGCTTTAATGTCTAAATTAAATTCAGCATTTTTGAGTGATACGAAATTACAAGTGAATGAAATATTAGATGGTGACCGCACAGTTACTTTTCAATATAATGAGGAGACTATAACAATTCGTCATTCCTTGTCAATATACGAAATCACGTATTTGTTTAAAATGACCACATTCTATCTTACACAATTTACTAAGCGAGGTACTCTGACAAAGTGTCAAGCTTATAATTACAGAATCTTTTTCATATTATTATTGCACATCGCAAAGGACAGTACAGATAGTTCTCTTTTTGTGGAAGAATGTGCAAGAACTATTTTTACTCACCCTGCTATTTTACATTACTTCTCACCACTTCAAAAAAGTGAAGACACCGTAAAAAGTATAATAACTTTCACGGTGCTCGACGTTTGTAAGGTGGTAACTAATTTATGCGCGAAGGCTAAAGTTAAAAATTTATTTGTTCATTTCAAAAATAAATTATTTACTCAGCTGTGTAAAATGATCGAAAAGAAACGAAAAAGTGAAAGGATAAGTGAGGCTGATGCAGTTATTACCTTGTTAGAGGTATTGCAATTAACACCAAGAGACATTCTACATTTGTTGAGAGAAATTGTAAAATTAGAATCCATTATGTTCATTTCGAAAGATGAGAACAATTTATCGATGTATGGACATTTGGTTCCTACGCTTCTGAAAATTATTAACACTAACGAAATGAAATCCGAACGAAGTGCATTCTTCGAATTGGACGCAAAATTTGTTAAAGATCTCTGCGTACATCTCTTCTTTTTCAAGTCTTCCTCAGTTACGAATGTTGAGATATGGGAAACAGCTTTACATGCATATCTTTCAAACTTTCCATTCAACATTGCTGGGATTGATACTAGTAAGTTATTAAATATTTTTATATAATTCCATATTGCTTAAAATAATGATAACATATATTTTCAGATATATTTATATCACTATTATCAACGAAAATTACAGATGCAACTGTAGATTTAATCTCATTCTTGACTAATAAGAATACAAAATTCATACCAAACTTCGTGAAATATATGATGAAATCTGAATCTATCAAAATGAACAATATCGTCTTGTCAGTAATTGCAAGTAACTTGGACTTTAAATGGAATCCAAGTTTTCTACAAAGTTTAAAGAATAATTACGAAGCCGAAATTCTATCTTACATGTGCAATCCTAAAGATGATAAACCGTGGATACAAAAAAATATTAGTGCGGTTTGTTATTTAATTAAAACCCAATTTGATTTGAAAACATGTAACGAAACATGCAATGCTATTTTGCAAATTGGTGATCGATTAGATATGGTGCCTATACATTATATAGAACTTCTTCAAAGCATGTGTAGTAAATGCGTCACCTCAAACTCAGAGAGTGAAATACTCATCATGAATTTGACCCAAGTTCTTCTCCACGTAATTACTTTAACTCTGAAGAAGGAATCAAAGAATACCGAAAAACTAATCATTCTCTGCGAAGCGTTAGACAGCGCGATAAACTGTTTAAAGAGTCTAAAAGAAGATTTTGTATTCGAGGGATTAAGTACTAATCATTCGTGGGCACAATTTACTCGATTTTCGTTAAAATTTGGTCTGAAAGGGTTGAAGAGTAACGAAGAGCGAGTGCCGATATTAAAGACTCTAAGTACCGCATGCGACATTGCATATAAAAACGACAGTAACAATGACTACGTCAAAACTTTGTTTGAGATGTCAGCGTCCCATTCCGAATTTATTAATATCATGTTGGGCTCATCAGATACAAAAAGTAAGTGTAATTAATTAGTAAATGCATCAATTGAACGTACTGTTACGTATATTATTCTTTAGGGTACCTGCTAGAATTATTATGGATTTTAATGCGAAAGAATAAAACAGTGATGACATCGACGCATGTACCCGTTTATCTGGCAGCATATAATGCTACTTTAAATGAAGCTGATCAGTATATTTTATTGGTATGTACATAAAGGAAATTTTCTATTTCTTATTGTTAATATATGAATCCATTACAGATTTTACAGTATTATGAGAGTAACGATATTAATATATACGACTATCGACCATACGTGTGGGGAAGTGCGGCTGCTATGCATTACAGCGTGAAGGGAGAGACAGCTACGAGTTTATGGAGGCAACCGTCCGTTGCTCAAGTTTTAAATTTATTCGAGGAAGATATAGTAAACAACACTATTAGAAATTATCCCGTAGACAGAGCTTTGAAAAGTAACGAACTGTGTAAAGGGAATGATATATACGATCCAGCATTCTATTTACCCTTATTATCTTTTCTGCTGTCGGAAAATAATGTTGTACATTGTCAAAAAGTTGCTCAAAGCGGAGCTCTGGCTTTAGCACTTGCAGCGTGCAGTAGCAAACATTCTGACGTTCGTATGGTAGCTTATACTACCATCGCTAGGTATTATACTCATTTGGAAGCTTCCAGGTACTTTATAATACAATTATATTAATAATATCATTTCATATATAGTATGTTAGGTTTGTATGTGTGTTATTTTTCTTATAGGTCAAAAGCAAAATTATTATGGATGCGATTAATAGATGTGATGCGTTACGGTATCGTATCGTTACAGACAGAACTTAACAGTGTACGAGTAAATTGTTTGATCTCGACATTCTTAGCGAGAACGTCTTTAATAGCCACGCAGCCATTGCATCCCCTTTATTCGGTCCTCCAAACATTTCTGATGGCTAAGCCAGCGTTAGATTTGAATACAATACCAGAACTGCTGCAATTGTTTCATAGTTCTGACGTACAGCACAAAGCACATAGAAATTGGATCTTGGAAAATATCCGCGATGGCATAAAGACTGAGAGCGAATTGAACGTTGCTTTCAAATGTGTCTTGTTTAAAATGCTTCTAGACTTTTACTCTTGTATTCTTTCCGATTTGAACACAAAGGTAAGGCTTGCATTTTAAATAGTAATGTACATTTTCAATATATAATTTTATTTCAGAGACTTATCTTAGAGATTATTGACGCGGTATTAGAAATTACGAAAGCTGCTACGCTTCTGATGGAACATCATGGATTGCTTCCTTGGTTGTTAGAAGTTGCAGGCAATTTGAATAAACACGACTCACGATCTATTGAGCTAGTAGTGAAAATAATGGACAAATTATTGAAGACTATGGGCACGAAAGGAGACGGCATGCCTTACAAATTAATGCTCTTAAATGTCGCGTTTCGTTTAAAGTCACATCTAGTCTCGGATATAAATATTAGCACTTTCACGTTGTACGTTAATATTTTACAAAAATTATTTCTGTCGAAACAAATAAGAGTAACCGTTACTAAAGAGGATATAATTGAAGTTGTCGAATTTTCGAAAAGATTATCAATCGACGTAGAGGAATGCGAGGATATGTTACGTTTCGGTTGCGGATATATAACTGAGATTAATTGTAGAAAAGACGGCGAACTCCAGATCGCGAGAAACGCCTTGAGAACATTAGTTTGGACGTGGTGTGGCCACAAGGTATAATGATATAATTAAGATGATTTTATGTGCGAATTACTGAAATTAAATTGTACATATAGACATATATTTTGTAAAATATAATATTTTATAGAGATTTTAACAATCCTTTGTGTTTTTCCAATCTCGCGCGAGCTGTCGATCGACATTCAAATAATAAATATCGATCGAGAAAGATTGCGTTCGAGATAAGTTCGATTGTCATGTGAACATGGCGCTTATACTTTGTAGCGCGGTGAGTGATATTCCTGATTTAAAGTTTGTCCAAAATGTGTTTCAATAATAGTGTTTTACGCTTTCGTACAGTGCATCGAATAGAATTTCGAGAAAACTTCATTCGAGATTCAACTCATTGGATAAAAAGTGTGTACGAAGACATCTGCGTCTGCATCCCTATATTTACTGTTGTGATGCCTCATGATCAATTTAACTTGCATGATGTCTTGTTCGCCGTCAATTGGTTCACCATCATAGTATTCTCTCATTTTTGGTAAGCTATTATTATTATTATTATTATTATTATTATTATAATTATTATTACGATTATT